ACCTTGTCAGTATAGAGACCTTGTCAATAAATGGAACTTGAAATGCTCATTTTACCGTATTGGGTTTGGAAACTGTAGACCTTGCTACTCCTTCATCAATGGTACCTCAATGTATTTTTTTTTGGCCGGTTTTGTTTTACAAATAAATTTTAAAATTTTACGAACCGATACCACGTCAGCACTAAAATATGGGTAAGTCTTGTATTGAATTTGCTAAACGCTCATTCATCTATTAAGATTTGTTTTACGTTACATCCTACACTGTAAAAAAAAATTCGGTGTATAGTTGATTATATGTTTGGTGTTGAAGTAGCATTTGTAAGTACAGAACTTTAGTTATCTTACAAAAAGTTTCATAAAATTAGCAAAATAACAATTCTCTGATGGAATTGGTTGCGATTTATTGTATCGACCTGACCTTTGTATACGATGAATTGTATACGATGAACGATGTATTGATTATATTGTTAACGATTCGCTTGTTTTTTAAACGAAGTGTTTTTGAAGAAGTGTCATGAAGAAGCCATAAAATTGATTCTTATGTGCTTGCAAATATGGGTTGTCAGTAAATAAATAAACAAACAAACAAAAAATAAATAAAAAAAGCTATAACATTGAAAAAGTATATAAAAAGTTTACTACATGAAAGATTTTAATGCAACTAAACACTAAAAATGTTGTCAACAATACACTAAAATTTTTGACGGCTTATGATTCCTGCTTATACGAAATTTATTGTTTAAGTTTGAGTGAGACTTTTCTTTTGAGGTTTTTTTATATGCTTTCAAATTAAAGACACTGAAAGTACTTACTATATTGCAAATGGAAGTTTCCTGTATAAAACAATCAAATTTTCATTAAACTTCAGAAATAATGAACATTAAAGTATTTTTAATAGATAGATAATATACTTGAAATATTTTGAGAACTATAATTCAACTTCTCGACAAGAAATACACAAATCAAACAAAATACTTTTTTCCCTACAAGTTTTAAAAAGAATTGATTTAAAAAGAAACCTTACATCACCTCCCTAAATTACTTTTCCTGTTTTGAAGGAGTTCTCGAAAGTCAATGATTGAAAGAAAAGCATGCTTCACCACTTTGCAGAATCCAATAAAGATAACTAAAGGTTTTATTGCGCATAGAGTCTTTTCAAATAATTCTTATTCTTCCTCAGTTAGCGTTTTGCTTGCAATTTTATACTATATTCTGTTTCTATTACTCTCCTGCCTTAAAGAAATTTCCACACTTTTATAAAGAAAGAATTATGAAATGTGAAATATTTCGAAAGAGTGGAGTATGTTGTAAAATTGAATTAGCAACTTTAAACGAAAAGAGAAAATATCAAATGTAGAGATAGAACAAAATTTGTCTAAATCAATATGGAAACTAACGCTTCGGCTGATTTAAAATGCTTTTGGAGTGAATTTTTATCTATAGAATCCGCAGAAAAACTTTTTTGTTACTAAATATTTGATTTATCCGTATATTTTCCATAAAGAATAAAAATTATTTCTCTAACAAAATATGTTTTTTATTATTCGAGAATTACTTACGTTTTGATAACATTTCAGTCAGGAACTTGTATTGTTTATTTAATATAATATACATAAAAATCAGAGGGACATATATATAAATATATATATATATATATATATATATATTTATATATATGTCCCTCTGATTTTTATGTATATTATATTAAATAAACAATACAAGTTCCTGACTGAAATGTTATCAAAACGTAAGTAATTCTCGAATAATAAAAAACATATTTTGTTAGAGAAATAATTTTTATTCTTTATGGAGAATATACGGATANATGGTATGACCCAGTTTTCTCACATAATTTCTTTTTTTTACTTAAATAATTTGTTTTACTTAAACTACTTGTTCTGTTAAATAAAGCTATATTAAATTCGTATTTCATGGACATAAAACTTATTCGTAATGGATATCTCATTAATAATATTTTTTTATATTATCTTGTATTGATTAAGTTCACATTTTATTAACTTATTATTGTAAATTTATCAGAGTCGTACTATTTCGCATGAATTTTTCGATCTACTGTCTATCTATCCCGAGAACTCCTCATGACTGAAAGTCTGAGGTCATCAGTTTTTTTATAGCAAGAATAATACCAGTTCTAATGAGGGAGAATTAAAAAAAGACATTACTGTCCCAACCAAAGCCAATATTAAGTTATTAAGTACACACTCTTGTTCAATCTTCATAACCACAGAAACCTTCAGCGCGTGAGTCTGTTGTCTGGAGGAGTTCTTTAGATAGCCTGACAGTAACTTACCACTTTTCCGAAATTGGTAGATCAGAATGATCAATGTGCACAAACTAGTAGTAGGTCTAAGTGACGATTTCTATGGAACGGATAGATTTAAATGACCATATGAGTTTTTTTTTTAATAAGTTACTCCGTATCTTAAAACGATTTTTTTAAAAAATATATTGCATTAATTAGAAGCAATAGATTGTAGTAATGGCAACATGCTTAAACAGCTTATCTGACTGTCACCAAAACCAAATTATGGAGAAGTGTTAAGCACGTTGACATATTTTTCCCCTCTGGATGCTTAAATAACAAAAGTTTCCTTTTTGTTTTTATTTGAACATAAATCATGTCGCAAAAGTCTCTAGAAGTCATTATTCTTCAAAATCTCTTCTCGTTTTTTAGAGATTAGAAAACTTTATTTAAATTCAATAAAATGTCTGAAAAATGAGTTGACAGTAGACTTTTATTTATTCGCAAGTGACTGGAATTTTCTACATAACAAATGACCAGCGATTTTTCGCTCTGACTGTTTTTTCTCATTTAATCGTAAAATAGAAATCGGTAGGGAAAAAGCAATTTTCTTCTATACACTTTTTTCCAAAATGTCCTAGCAAAGAAGGTAGAAAAAATAGTCCTTTTCACGCCAAAAATATTTAAGTTTAGCTCTTTTTATTTCAAAAATTCCTCTGTGTAAAGGGCACAATGGAAAAACATTCACGGAAAAGTATTTTTAAAACACAAAAATAAATCAGTCTGAAGTGTTTTAAGGTTTCGATGTTTTATTAAAGAAAAGTTCAAAAAGGTGGAAAAAATTTCATAAGTTTTCTCTTTAAGTTTATGAGAACAATTTCAAAACTGTTTTCATTTTATAGGGAAAGGCTTAAAACTATTCAAACAAAAAAAACGAAATTCATTTGGGAATAATATTAGTGAATAAAAAAAAATTGGGAGTTACATATTTTTATATAGATTGGCTATCATAAAACTCCTCCTTATTTTTTTCTCTATTTTTAGTAGTGTCATAATTTTTATTCTTTGGTAAAACAAACTTTCATATAATTTTATTTTTCATCAAGAAATTTCTTTTGAAGTCCTCAAATCAAGACTTTTTTTTAAAAAAAAATCTAAAATTAGGTTAAATTCAATCGTTAATCTTGTATTGTATATTATCATCTTTAGATTAACTGTCATAAATTGTTTCTTGGCATTAAACGTTTTGTTACCCTAAAAGGTATGATGTTTACTTGAAGAGTAACTATATACACTTCATATAGTTGGAAAGATAAAATTTTGTTTCATATTTCGTCAACACTAATTTCCATATTAATTCTTTTGCTTTCCTCAAATGATTGTCCTGTTGACCATATTGAGTCTATTTCTGGAAGTTTTGGATTAATTAAACTGGAAAAGAAATTAAATTAAGATGATTCAAAGCTTTTTATGAGATAGTAGAGAACGTAATTCAAAATTAGAAAACTTTAAATTACTATTAAAAATTAAAAGAAAATGACTGCTATGGTTAAAACAGAGGGCATGATATCCTTTAAGTATTTATCCAAAGCTATTGTTATGCTTTTTTAGAGAAAACAATAAAATTTTATTAAGAATTTATCGAAATCGATTGTTTTGGGTTAATAGAGACTGCAGTAGAATTGTATAAGAATTTATGTAAGGAGATTGCTGTTGATTGATAGAGACCACAATAGAATTGTAATAAGAATTTATGGAAATCATTTATTGTTGATTAATAAAGACAACAATGAAATTGTATTAAGAATTTATGGAAATCATTTATTGTTGATTAATAAAGACAACAATGAAATTGTATCAAGAATTTATAGAAATCGTTTATTGTTGATTATTAAAGACAATAATGAAATTGTATTAAGAATGTATAGAAATCCTTTATTGTTGGTTATTAAAGACAACAATGAAATTGTATAAAGAATTTATAGCAATCGTTTATTGTTGATTATTAAAGACAATAATGAAATTGTATTAAGAATTTATAGAAATCATTTGTTGTTGATTATTAAAGACAACAATGAAATTGTATGAAGAATTTATAGCAATCGTTTATTGTTGATTATTAAAGACAATAATGAAATGGTATTAAAAATTGATAGAAATCATTTATTGTTGATTATTAAAGACAATAATGAAATTGTATGAAGAATTTATAGAAATCGACTGTCATGCTGAGACCACAATGAATGTATAGAAAGCGATTGTTATGGGTCAATAGAGATCATAATAAAATTATACTAATAATTTATGGAAAGTTATTGTTTTGGGTTAATAGATACCACAATAGAATTGTATTAAGAATTCATATAAATCGGATGCTATGGATTAATAAAAAAACAAGAAGAAACAGAAACAAATGACAAACGTTTCGTAAGTTTTCATAATTCAGAGCGAGATAATTTACGTAGGTTTAATATAAAACAGGCTCTTTAATTCAATTACTTTGAATTTTTACCTAGTAGTTTCGATTACAAATTTTTAACTTTCAACAGTTTGGTATCAACTTATCTAGTTTGGCATCAAAATGTTTTCTAATTTAGTATCAATTTCATCTAGTTTGGTATCAAAATTATTTATTTTGGTAACAACATAATTTTGACTAAAAAAAATAATAAATTTTTTTTAAAACTCCGTACTTATAATTTCCTAAAGTAAATATGTCTTTCTTTTTTTCTTCCAGAAAGATCTTGAAGAAACTGCAACATGGCTGAGGAATACAGGATAAGGTTGGTCGTCCTAGGCGGAGGAGGATCGGGTAAAAGTTCCATAATAAAAAGATTCCTCTTCAATTCCTTCTGCGAAAAGCATCGGCCTACTGTCGAAGATCTTTATTGCAGAGAATTTGATCTTGAAGCTATGACCCTTAAAGTAGACATTTTGGATACAGCTGGAGATTTCCAGTTTCCGGCGATGAGAAGATTGTCGATAGCTACAGCACATGCATTCCTTCTAGTTTATAGCATTGACAGCGTAGAGTCTTTTAACACTGTGAAAATTTGCTTTCAGGTATAGCAGGACATTTATAATTATAATTTGAAACTATGTCACTTTTAGTAAGCAAATAAATTTTTCTACATAGTTTATGAAAAAAAAATGAAGAAAAATACATGTGCTTCATAATTTCTGAAATACTGCAAAATTATTTTGTCTGGAAAACCAAATTGGAATTCACTGTTTGAAATATGATAATATAAACCTAAAGTATAAAAAAGTAATATAATGTGTTATTAAAATACACACATGAAGGTATTTTAGACCCTATGTTATCATTAAAAGTGACAGGAAAGTAAAATCTTCAAAAATTAAATCATGGTGAGAAACTGGTGATTAATGGCGATACATATTGTTGAACATTAGAAACTATTTTGGTTAAAATAGTCTGATCAGGAAAATGTTCAATCTGAAATACATATTTTTAATTATAAACATTCTGTTTTAAATACTATTATTTTTACCTACTTTAAGCAACCTATAACATGAGATAAGAAAGCAGATGATTATTGATTATTTGATGTTATTGATATTCAAAACCACCGACTTTTTTTTCTCCTTTTTGCCTTACGTTACACTTAATTTTGGTACTCAAAAACTATGAAACTTAAAAAATTGAAATTATGAAGGCTTGAAAAATGTTGTAGGAGTACAATGTAATAAAAAAAAAGAATTTGGATATTAGTTCAAGAATATCTAGAAGAATCTATAGAATCGGACGCAAATGCAGAGTTGAAATTTGATGTGTTGAAAAGTTTAATGTCATTTTTAAATGTATTGCAATTTTTTAAAAAAATTCTAATTCGTTTGAAAGTTATTGCAATATTAAGAGATTTTAATTGAAGAATTTTTACTGCCCTTTTTTGTTCTAAATAATAACTGTTTACCAATTTTAAAGATAAGCGTATTTATCTCTCATGAGATTTTTATTGCTTAAGCTCACACTCGACTTGATTTCAAAATCAACAATGAACGTTCATAAAAAAGTGTACAAAAAAATAAGTGTATGAGACTTTTGATGTTGCCACTTATAAATCCTAATATTAGAATCAAAAATTTTAAAAAATAAAAAGAATCTATTGAGATAAATACCGTTTCCAATTTGAAAAGTTATAAAATGTACAGGGATTAAACAAAAATATGGAAACACTTCTATACTAACTCAACACTTTACTACTATTGTGTCAACAATATTTATTTTAACAGCAAATGTTTTGGAGGATTTCACGTATCAAAACTGTTGACACAATTTGAAAGATCACGCTTCTAGCTTTTAGAAATGGCATCCTTTCTACCTATGCTAAATTTGGAATGATCAAAGTGAGTAAATAAAGTTAATAACTTCTTTCTAGCTTTAATACCAGCATTTTCGAAATCCTTCTATTGGATTGCGATATTTATTTAAAAATGATTTAAAATTATAGTGATCTTGACAAAGGATAAAAGCTTTTAACTTCCTACGCTTATTTTGCACTGGTGAAAAAGACACCATTTATAAAAGCTTCAATTTTAATCTTTCAAATTGTTCCAACGGTCTTGCGACGGAAAACCTTTTAGAACATTTGCTGCTATAAGAAAGATTGTTTATGTGGAGTGTTTCCATATTTTTGTCCAATCTTTGTAGGTTGCCTCGCGACGACTCAAAGGATAGAGCGTTCGCCTTTCAATGAGGTGAACCGGGTTTAAACCTCAGCAATGGCTGATCGATAAGAATCCGCATTTGACTTGCATCAACCACATTTCTGACGTGAAATATCCTCGGTGGGAGACGTATCATGGGTTAGAGACCCCCTGTCCGCTGGATAACCGTGGGAGGTTCTCGTGGTCTTCCTCTCCATGTAACGCTAATGCTGGTTAGTTCCATCAAAAAAGTCCTCCACGAAGGCATATTTCTCGCAGTATTTAATTCAGGAGTTCTCTTGTCTTCTGAATTGGGTTCGAAATTACAAGGCTACAGAGTTGAACACAGTAGTCGTAAACCCAAGCAATCGGATCGGCTGTTCAACGACGGTTATGAAATAAAAATCTCTGTAGGTTATCGTCATTTGCAGTTAACAAGTAAAATTACTATATTCTTATTTCTTCTTATTATGGCACACGATTTGTATTAAGTATTTTTTTTTCAAGTACAATTAAATATTTTTCAAATCTCAGTAACTGTTCATTTTGTTGCGATTAACATAATAACAAAATGCTCTTGCACAAAACCGTAATTATTATATTTATGTAAACAAAAGATTTTTTTTTTGCAAAAAAATATCGATTTTTAGGAATAAAAAAATGAGATGATTGAAGGCAACTGCTAGGATTAATGAATGGAGCCTCTTAATTCTTAGCAAGTTAAATGTCTTTTGGCAGCTATGTAAAGTGATGATAAATAATAATTACAACTAAAAACTATTGTGGTAAACTAAACTGAAATAGCCGCTACCTACAATTTTAATCTAAACCAATAAATAAACAATACTTAAATTTTGTTTCATTGAAAATTTTTTTGATTGTTCCTAAATTTTGTTTCATTGAGTTCGAACTGTATCAACTTTTAAAAAAAATCCTGAACTGATTTTTAAGATAACCTTTACATAACATAAAATATTAATGAAATATTTTCGATAATCATGAAATATTTTCGTTCAATTATATATAAACTACGAATATTTTTGATTTTTTATGGTTTTTAAACTTTTAAATTACGAAATAGATGTTGGGTTTTGCGGTTTAAAAAAGTAATAACTTCAAATTAATCCTAAAATTTTGGAAAATTATTGTAGGCACGTGCCTCCTGTCCCCTCCCCTCCCCAAAGCTAACCCAAAATCCAGAATTGAAAGACATTCACAGACAAAATTAATAAAGCTAAAATATTAAATTTTTTTTATTTATCAGTCTTCCCACGGCAGCTGAAACAAAAAACTTTTTTACAAGTTCATCCCAACAAAATAAAAATTAAATGCAATCAAAATCATTTGGTCTAAAGTTATTGCTCGAGGCCAGCTCTTGGAAATAAAAAAAATTTCCACAATCAAGACCTTTTCTCTGGTACTTAACCTATTTCGGTGCAAACTGGAAAGACCAATAACCACAGTGCCGGCAGTAGTACCTATATTAGTCTATTCGACACCTGTTATAAATAACACTAATTACCGTATTACCAGCAGTACTAATTATCAAAGCATCATCGACGCTAATAAAATTATGGCGATAGTTTGCGGTTTCCCTAAACGAATCAGTAGCTTTTCTCCGTTTACTTTACTTTTCGGTACATACATTTTTATTTATTTCAATTAACGCTGATTTTAAACTATTAAATTCTTTAAAAACATATTTTAAATTCAAAACTATAAGCGAAATAAACGCGCGTTTTCAGATAACATTGGAAATATTGATTCTGTAACGTAGCCACGCTATCCGCGTTGATCATTGATCTTGTAAGAGAATTTTTAACCCACTGACGATTCTGCATTTAAAAAGCTGTATTTTAAACTCCAGTCTTCTCCGCGTAGCAAAACCAGTTTTCCTATGCTGATAGATAGGGAGATCGTGCATAGGGGAGAAACATTCTCCCAATTTTCCTATTTGATAAACCGAAATTTGGTTAAACATTAAGGAAAGTACAATAAATTCCTAAACAAAATTGTTTCTAGTTTAATTTATAATAATTGCTATTGCTAAAGCATTACGAAAAATTCACTTTTCAAATATTTCTCTTGAACCGACTAATTGAACTTTTTTAGATCGGAGTCTATAATTAATTTTTGTATTCGATGTCCAACTTTCAGTAACCTCATGCAAGTGTTCTAAGAGTATCTAGACACCGTTTAGATACAAAGACCCACAAAAATACTCAATAAACAAAAACGAAATGTTGACAAAAGTTGTTGTAAATCTAAACTAAAACGGAAAGTACATTAAGAATAAGATTTTAATAGTGTTCATCATTTAACCACTTTTAATACGTATTTACCAGACTCTTGCCATATAAATAAATTTATAAGCTTCATGTAAATACGATTTTTGTTTTGTTATCAAACATCTCATTAAAATATCATTCAGCTATTTTTTTCTTTCTAACAGGAAATTAGAGAGCAGAAGTCAGACTTCCAAGAGGTGCCTATTGTAGTGGTTGGTAATAAACTAGATATTGGAGAGAGTAGTCGAGCCGTTCCGAAAGAGGACGCTGCTGAATGGCTGTTCTGTGAGCTTCCGAGGCTCCGTGCCAAAATCCTGGAGTGCTCAGCGAAAGATAACACCAATATCAAGGACATATTCCGAGCTTTCTTACAGTTATCTAAGTTACCTTTGCCAGCTGAAGGTCTAAAGCGTCGATCCAGCGCCCATGCAGCAGCTGCGTCCAACTCCAACGGAGCTACAAATCGTCTGCAGGCGGAAGGATCCACTCCTGAAGAGGGACCAGCCAGTCCTCTTAAACACCAGAGAAGCTTCAAGCCAAGAAGCAGAAGCTTGATAAGGCGAACAAGTAAAAAAATGCAAAAAATGAAGGATGCAGCAGCAGCTGCTCACGGTACTACTGCTAACATAGATGATTGTTGCATATCATAATCTGTTTGTTTGATGATGATATCCGAATACGGGATCAAAAAGGATGCGTACGAATTATCAATCTTTCTATGTCATTTTAATGTCAGGCTTGTTATGCTGCAGTTCAGTAAGTATTTATATGCGCCAAAAATGATTTTCTTTTGTTTGTGGAGTGAAGATGGGTATCTGGTTATGGATGGTTTAAGAATGGGTAAATAAAAGCCATCAGTAGAAACACCTAACCCACTTCTTACAGCACTTGAAGGCGTCAAAAATTTATAAGCTTTGTAAACGAAGTAAGTATGGCTCGAAAATAACAGCTTTAATAACAACTGAAAGTGAAAATTATTAAATCCCCCTTAATCCCGCTGAAAAATCTAAGAAGCTGTTACAGTCTAAAAAACCATATAATGACATCCGTCTAATGTCATCCATATAATGACATTTAAAAAACTTCTGAGAATATTTTTTCAAATTCTGAAGCAGAACAATTTTCGTATGTAACATAATAATATTTTCTGTTCAGTTGCAGTCTTTAGTCTTGAAATTATAAATCTTTTCGTTAAAGATTGAAACAGTAAAAAAGCCACCTATTTTCTATATTTTCCTACCTGGATTTCAGTTGCAGGTCTTTGATTGTTGATTCAACCGTACGTTTTCCACTGTAGAATTTTTTTCTTCTCAAAATGAATTTGCAATAGAAACCTCTTGTTAGCATCTCTGTTTACTTTCTTTTAAAATAAAAGAGAAAAAATTTCAGGTTTCAAGGCAAACTAGAAAACATTCTTGAGTAGTCTTCATGGCCTGACGGAATCAATAAATAGCAAACATTATATATATTATGGCAAAAACTAATATGACTTCAAAGTCTTAAATAAATCTCCTCTTTCATTAGAGTAAAATGTAGTTTTTGAAGAGGAAATTCAAATCGTAATACCAGATTGTAATATTAATTGTAATATATATTGTAATTGTAATATTAATACCAGTATGATTGAATTCATAAGATTGATATTTTCGCCGCATCCGAAATCTTTGGAAAACATCGTGAGCTTTCTGAGATTTTTGTACTGATAACTTGATTTTTATTGAATGTAGTGCAGCAGAATGCAAAATAACGGTTTGTACATGAAAGCCATGGCAGTTATTTATTTCTCAGTTAGTTTTAACTGAATTATATGTATGTGTTATAAATGGTGCCATTATTTGTTAAATAGTATCTCAATTTATGTGAAAGAATACTGTTACTTTGTGTTTGAAACTTACTGTGCTATTAGCAGTTCTATAGTTATTAGTGTCTTTCTAGTATCGTGTTTTTCCGTTGTTTTGTTAACGGAAAAAACAATGTAAAATATGTTACTTTTTAAATGCTTTATTTTTTAACGCATGGAAATTATAGTTTTTTATTGCATTATCTCTAAGGCTTCTTTTAAAGTTTAAATAATATTTCGAGTGAAAATGCTTTTTAAATGAATTTTCTCTTCTTAAAATGGCTATTTGACTATATATACCTGAATATAAAAATCTTGTTTCTTAGTTATTTTTACTACTATATTGCCTTTTTAGCTAAACATTGAAACATTTCTAAAAACATTGAAACATTTCTTATAATCCTCTAATTAGGCTTAACCGATAAATAATTTTGGAGCTTTAGTGTTATATTTAGTTATTGGTATTAATCGTATAACTGTTGTGTGAAGAATACGATGTTTTTTTCTCTATATACAGACCGAAAATGTCTATATAGTATACGCTGCCAAAAAAAGTTTCAGTATAGTACAGAAACCTCATAAATTTGTATAACTTATCCATTTTAAAATATTGAAATACTTCGAACTAAAAATTTAATATTGTGATTTATCATCAAAAAATATTGATATTTATGGATATATCGTGATAAATTTCCAATTTTACTAATTTACTTTATTTTTTGCTTTTGATAATATTTTAGTTACGCAACTGAAAAAAAATTCTTTTTCAAAATTGTTTTAAGTTATATGTCTTAATTAAGATACTTCCGACAAGTCGCTGTCAGGATTACATCGTTGCGATTAATTATCGCTACATCTTCTTATTCGATAATTATTGAATATTTATCATGTTCCATATTTATCGTTACCGATATTAAGGATAGTATCACATTCCGTATTTTTTTAACGATAACGATCAAAAAATTATTGTATTGTCGTTATTTATTGTAAGACATTCATTAAAACTTCACTCTAAAATATCGTTAACACGTTATTAAACGTATCGATATATCCCTATATTTAGCTTTACATCTTTAAAGAGGATTGCTTTCATTGCATTTAATTCAGCTTAACTAAAGATACTTTTCTTGATATAATTAAATTAACATCTAAATTTTATTCTAACATGGTTTTAATCATTCTTTAATTATTATTTAGGAAAACGTTATTTATTTTCTTATGCTGATTACCTTCTTTCAAACTACAACGCATGCAGCCGGCTTCTTAATTTGGAAATATTTTTCTCTTTGAAATAATGTGCTTCAATAATTTTAAATATTGTTAAAAACCAAAGCCATATCACTATGCCACGTCTAATATACGTTATATTTTAGTTTTAAATATTTTTATAACAAAAATATTTGCAAAAAAACTACTTTCTTTCATCGGAAATTTTTTTTTTATCTTGCTTAAATTATTTCTTTTATTTCGAAGATTAGATATTCATATCATTATAAACCCTATTTTGTTGCAGTTAACATTTTACTCTTAACTAATCATTTTTTGACTAAGAAGCAAATTTTTAATTCTTATAACTATAACATATGTACTGTTTATATACATGCATGGGTAGATTTGTTTTATGTCTATATATCTATGTTTACATGTGAGTTTTAACTGTTTTAAAATTATCTTTATTCATTAAAGTACTCTCAAAATCCTCGGTCTAATAATATAAATAATACTAGTGTTGTATGTTAATGATTGTTTTTGTTCAAAATATTTTATTTATAATTATTCACGTTTTTAAAACAAAACAATTTTAGTAATTTCAATATTATCAACAATTATCACCGACAAATTCGCATACGAAGAGCATCAATCGTCATAGAAGAATTAAATAAATTTTATTTACATAAAATGTTACAAATGTATTTCTCTTAAAAACATATAATAACTCAAAACTATTGTTTTTTCTATTCTTTGAAAAAAAATTATTACATTATTACAACATTTTAAAAAGTCCCTAGAAAAGTATTAAAATCCTTACAAATTTAGTATTTCATTGCGTCAAATCCATAAGTTGATTTTTATTGACTTAACAAAATTAAAGTTTTTTTACAGACCTTAATTAGTTCAATAAATGAAACTATAAAATATTGTAATTATTAATGCTGATGGAGAACTTAATTTAAATAATGCACAGTTTCTTCTCTCAATTTATTACAAAAATGGAGCGTTCAGCTCATAGCTTAGAATGAAATAAAAATTTACACGCAGTTTTATTATTTATGATAAATTAAAATAAGCAAGTCAAAAGTACTAAATAAGCTTTTTACTAAAACAACGCTATTTTTAAAAAAGGCAATTTCTAAAGTTTTACTGAGACAACTATTGAACAGAGAAGACATGGACTTAAAAATTTTTCTTTTCGGAAAAATGGTATATAAATAATAATAGATAAAAAAAAATTTGAGTAAAACAGACGCAAATACAGCAGATTCGGAAATTTATGATAATCAATTGATTATAAAAGGGAACAATTCTTCTTTCTGTTGCATGGAATTTTTTTTAACAGATCTTAGATACTATTGTATAGCTCTTTTCAAATCGGTAATTGGTTTTTTTAAATGATATTTATAGTCAATTTTTGGTCGAAATGTAAAAGTTAAAAAACGTTGTATGTAATAGGGGATCTCATAAATGTTGTGGTAAACAACTAGAAAAATTAGGGCGCAGCATCAGGATGACTGCAAACGAGCCCATGCCGGGATATGTCATCTCACACCGCTATCCGTATCTACAAGCTGTTTCTTCGTGTTCTTCTAAACAAGTCATAATAGGGAAGCACTCCTATCCGATGGGCCGGGATGGCCTGGTCGGTAGGGCGCTGGGCCCATGTCCGACAGTTCGTGGGCTCGAACCCCGCCGGCCGAAGACTCCCCGTGTAGTAAAGTGACTGATGCACGTTAAATCTGTCGAGTCGCAAAAGTCCTCCATGTTCCCATAACAAATAAATACCTCTGGGGGTACTGGATTGGAGATCGATCGTTCTCTGCTTCAGGTCAAAATTACGATTTGTGGATGAATGAATGGATGTATGAATGGATCCGCCCTATAAACGGGTGCGACGTATGGTGTGGCAGAAGTCGAATTCTTGGCCATAGATGGCGCCACTGGAAAACAAAAACAATCGCACCCCCTCTGCCTAAACAGACATACGTCAACAACAACTCCAATCCGATGCTTCAGGGAATGGGTTCCTATGCAATTTTAATCCTAATGATGTGCCCTAACTCTCCTAGAAGCTTGTAGCTACATTTATGTGACCCCCTGTTATAGATATAGTTTTTAACGTTGTACATTTTGACAAAGCAAAATGACTAAAAATGTCATTTAAGAGCTTGTAGCTAAGAGATTGTAGCTTTATTAAAAAAAACTAATTTCAGATAAGAAATCCCCATTTCCGAATTAAACAAGATCAAATATTTGCATAAATGCAACAAAAAATTTGTTCCCCATTGTTACGATTTGGTTATTTTTTCTTTTGTTTTAACCAATATTGGAAATCACGTTTTCTTCTTCGTTTTACGTTAATAATATTTTTCCTGATATGTATGGATTCGTAATATTTTTCCTGATATGTATGAATTTGTAATATTTTTCCTGATATGTAGCGTAAGCTAAGTATATTTTTAGAATCCTTGTCCAAAAGTATGCACAGTAAAAGTACTAAAAAAAAAAAAAAACAATCGTAATCAAAGTTTATTTATTAGGTTTAAAACTAATGAAGATGGCGAAACCAAAAAACATCAAAACTTGCTTGAATTCTTTCCCCCCCCCTCAGATTCCTCCAACAACCTGACTTTTAAAGTTTTATTTTCCTCATTTGAATATTAGTTTGATGTCGCTCTCATATTGTATACAAATTCTAAAACTGTGCATTAAGGTTGGTGAGTGCAGAACATTCTGTATATCTTTAATTTTTATTTCAGTTTTATCATGCTTATGATGTATTATTTTTTAATTAATTTTTTTAAAAAAATGCTTTCAAGCATAAAATAAGTTCCTGTGTGAATTAAGGATTCAAAACTTCTCTGTCTCTTTTTTTTTTTTTTTTTTTTTTTTTTTTTTTTTTTTTTTTTTTTTTTTTTTTTTTTT